TACGTTCACTTCTTTATCGTGTGTAATGTTAGTTAAGGAACGTTTCGACAACAGTAGATCACCAACACAATAAAAACAAAAGAAACACTGTGCTGCCGTTCGTTTTCATAACCTGCCACAATAAGAAACTATGTCAAATTATCAACCGCTCTACGTGTTTGTGGCAAAATTCCCGTAACACAGATGATCTTAATGTGGAAATTTCACAGCCGAATTTGACAAGAGCTTACACTTAAGTTCATTCAAAACTCTGAATCTCCAAAACAACTCCACATTGTACGAAATAATATGCATAGTAACGCTATGAAAATATACAGGCCTATGCATGTAGTAATTTCGTTTTTTTTTTCCCGATTTTAAAGTGAATTCTACATTTCTTACAGACTATATCCCATATCAAAATCAATATAAATCATTATTATCGTATATAAATTCTGTAATTTTACGAAGGGAAATTTTTTTCGATATTTAGGGAGATAAGCGCTAGAGTTTTTATTTTTTTAAATTCGCTTAGTGGGGGGTGGAGTCCAACTGGGTCCACTCGGCACGGCGGCCACTGATTGGCATATTGTACCTGCCCTGGGTGATTATGATGATGGAGAATTTGGTGGAATGAAGATTGGCAGGGGAAACCGAAGTACTCGGAGAAAACCTGCCCCAGCGCCACTGTGTCCGCCACAAATCCCACTCGACCAGACCCCAGGATCGAACCCGGGCCGCCGCGGGGGGAAGCCAGCAACTAACCACTTGAGCTAGGGCGCGACCAGCGCTAGAGTTTAGTCCGATGAAGGTAGCAGCCCATACACATCAAAGTGGCTAGAATGATTCGCTTTCAGCCTGTACATTGCATATTTTTCGAAGTCCATATTCCGTAAGAATAATTTTTAAGTCTAAGATAAGACGCAAATGTAATGTACCTCTCCCAATAAAAATGTCGTTACGAAATGAATTCCTTTTCCCTCCGTGGTACAAAACATTCTTTTTTGATCATGTGACTGAGGGATTGTGAGATATCACAACTGTCAAGCTGAACACGTGACGAGCGAGTCAGAGAATGTGCAGCGCCACGTTCTCGTCTGAGAGCAGCATCAACTTGTTTCACTCACTCGCACTATCAGGGTGGAGAGCCCTGGTAGCTGTAATCTATAAGGCCGGTGTTCGTTTCTCGGTGGGCCGTTTACGGCCACACCCAAAGAGGTTCTAACGTCTTATCTAACACACCGCGGTTAAGGCGGCCGGAACATGAAAATGACTGTTCATCATTTAAAACGCCATGTGGTACTTAGGCAAAGGCTTAACCCAGCCTTTTTGGACAAACGTGACACGATTCTGGAAGTAAAAAAAAAAACCCGCCAAAATGTTCGTAACAGAGTGTGAATGATGCACGAACAAACATAACCGCACTTGAGGCAGCGGTCTGGCCTCACATATTTTGCACCAGCAATTTCCCACTCAAAACACAGGACTTCCCTGTTAACAGATATTGGTTAATTCATTTATTGAAGGTATTTTGCAAATACTCCGCACTATATTCGTATAAATATACCTCCAAAAATTGAACAGAACAATCAGAGATTCCAATATATCAATGGATTTTCATACAGAGAAATTT